CAAGGGCAGTACCATCCAATTTCCGGCCCCCTAACCCATCCTCCCCAATCCTCTCCAACCGCGTCCTCTCTGGCCTCCACCCTCCAGCCATCTGTGCTGCTAATCCAGCCTGGGTCCCATTAAGACTGCTGGGCCCCCTGCAACCTCCCCTCTCTGCCCCTTTCCCTTGTCCAGACTATAAAAGTGAGTCTTGGGGTGAGGTGAGCACACACAGCAGCTGGCGTCCCTCAGCTGGTCCCTAGGTCTCCTGCCTGGGAGCAGGTGCCCAGGCAGGGCTCTGGGTTAGGAGAAGGGAGGGAGCCTTTGCCTCCCCCCACCCCCTTCGTCAGCTGGCCCCCCTCACCTCAGCTCAAACTGGAGCCTTCCTCCACTGCTCTGTGCACACTTCCTGTTGGTTTGCCCAAACCAGGTCCTGGATGCCTCCTCATTTTCACTGTCACCCTGGGTCCATCAACCCCCCGCCCCCCGCCCCGAACCATAGCCACAGCCCTGACCTCTCCCTGCAGCTCCCACCATCCGTTCTCCACCCTCAGTGGGGCTGCTCTGGTGTCCATCAGATGGTTCGTTCCCTTTACTGAGACCTCCCAAGGATTCCCACTGTCCTTTCAATCCAATCAGACCCCAGCCCAACAGGGGACGCTCCACCTCTCCAGTCACTGGCTCCTCCCTGGCTCAGGGCTTTGGTCAAAGGGGAAGGCAGACAGAAAGAGCCTGTTGGATGGGGTGGGAATCCTGGATTTGGGGGTGGAGGAAGGATGGAGGGCCTCAAAATTGTGAGTTCAAATCTGGCTCCATCATCTTCCAGTTGTGACAATTTGGGTCAATTAGTTGACCTCTTGGTGCCTTGGTCCCCCGTTTGTATTTGGGGCACCAGCCCTTCCACACTTAGGGCTCTTTGGGGTTTTAGAAGAGGGTGGGGCACATGACAAGCAGGTGAGTGTCTTCGTGAAGAGCTGGGCCTGGCAGGGCGGGTGTGCTGGAAAAGGGGTGGGTGCAGGACACAGGGGGGCCTGCAGACCCTCCCCAGAGGCGGGGCAGCCTAGGGCTTAACACTCAGGCTCCAGTCTCAGTTCTCCCAGTTACTGGTGTGTGGCCTTGGCTCAGCCCCTTGGAGCCTAGGGTTCCCTATCTGCACAGGGGGGTACGGAGGCTGCCCCTCAGATGCAGCAGTGCCCAGAAGGCCCCTAGCTCAGTGCTAGCCATCGCTATAGTTTAAGGAGGGCACAGAGGGGTAAAATCACTTGTCCAAGCCCACACTGTGAGGAAGCAGCCCTGCTGTGTTTGAACCAAGGTGATATGGCTCCCGACTCCCACGGCTCCCTGACGTGCACCATCGCTGCTGTGGCCCTGTGGCTGCTGGTGGTACTGGGCTTTATGGGGGTGGCCGGCCTAGTCTGGGGGGCCTAGTGCAGGAGTGATGACAGGGAAGAGCAGTCTGGCTCCTCGGGCCTCGAAGTCCCCTGGCCGCCTTCACACAACATCTGGCTTGGGCTGCGGGGAAGCCCTCGGAGTTCTTTTGACATAGAGCCACACACCCTCTGACCACAGCAGCCACAGTTCTGAGAGTCCCTCACCTCTTGCCCAACCATTACACTGGCAACAGAGTTCTTCCTTAGCAACGACCTCTTCCTCAGCCACCGGGACCTAAGCCAGGGACAGCCGGCTGGCAGGGCGGGAACGGACTGGTTCACTGCTGCCAAGGGCTGGGGGCCACGGATGTGCTGGGGATGGGAGCACGCCAAGGAAAGAGACCAGGGAGGGGCTCCTCCCACCCCAAGCCCCGGCAAATCCAGGGCTGTGGCCAAGCCCAGGTCCCTTTGATGGACACGCGCAGAGCAGGAAGGGACACAGACAACAAGACTGGCTTTCCCAGAGCCCCCACTCGGGGCCGCAGCCTCCTCTCCCCTCCACTCCTGATGGGAGGCCACAGCAGGAGCGGGAGCCAGACCCCACGGCATGGCACCGTGCCGAGGCTGGAAGGGGCTGCAGGGACCCTCTTTTTGGCGACGTGTCCTAACTCGTGTCTCTATCTTGTCACACTTGGTAACACCTTTGGGTACCATCTGGACCATTCAACTTAGTTGTTACAAACTTAACATTTATTTTAAAAGGAACCTACATCATAACTCTCTATGGATAACTAGTCTCACTTGTCATGAACACGACATAATCACAAAAATAAATATTATTGAGGCCACGAGGACAGCTCCCCGAGGGCAGTGGTTTGTGATTTGCTGCTGTATCCCCAGCTCCCACAACAGTGCCTGGCATGTCATAGGAGCTCAAAGTGTATCTTTTGAATGAGGGGTTGAGTAAATGAAGAAATGACTAAACGCAGAAAGGAATGCATGATCGGGAATGGATGCTCAGGGGAGGCACAAAGCCTGTTGTTAAAACGAGGAAAAGCAGCCCTAACTGGTTTGGCTCAGTGGATAGAACATCGGCCTGTGGACTCAAGGGTCCTGGGTTCGATTCCGGTCAAGGGCATGTACCTTAGGTTTGGGCACATCTCCAGTAGGGAGTGTGCAGAAGGCAGCTGATCGACGTTACTCTCTCATCAATGTTTCTAACTCTCTATTCCTCTCCCTTCCTCTCTGTAAAAAATCAATAAAATATATTTTTTTAAAAATGAGGAAAAGCAAATGTTCGAGAGGCGTCAAAGCCATGCCTGTCTCACATGGAGACTTTCTTCGTGTATTCACCGTGACCAGCAGGGCTGTCTAAGTGTGTTCCTGCCTGCACACACATGACGTGACACCTGTGTGCGGACAGACTCCCAGCCCTCAGCCATGTGCAGGCCACTCTGAGCCAGCCTGGCCGAGGGGGTGCTGCAGTCATAGCTCTCCTCCCCGTCCGTCCTCCCACCGTGGACAGGGCCGTCTTCATAGAGCATGAAGTCACTGTCCTCGCCGGGCTGGAGCCTGCGGGGGTGGCCAGGCCTATGGGGGTGCTGAGCCTGTGGGGGTGGCCACTGCACTGCTCTGGTAGAAGCCTGGCTCAGGAAACCTGACGTCATCCTGACTCACTCCTCGAGCTGGACTGGGGGTGGCCTCACTCGTCACTCTTAGCTTCATACCTGCCCTGGCCTGTGATTGTAAGAAAACCACTCTGCAGGGAGGGGGGGGTGCTGCTGTGGGGCAGGGAAAGGCCAGGGATCCCACAGGTGGGAAGGGGAGGGGGCAGTGACGCTGAGCCAGCTGGTGACAAAGAAAAACACCAATAACCATGTGTTCTCATTGGGTATTTTAAGTTTTAAAAAAATCCAAACCCCAAATCTACCTGATAGTGTCTGCTCTGTAAGAGCCAGGCCAGGACCAACAAAAATCCAAACAACCTTTTGAGTCTGGCACAGGCCTCCTGCCACCCCCTCAGCACCTAGTGAAGGGAGCAGGGGCCTCCTTCCGGGACCTGTAGCCTGTGGACCTCAGGTCTAGTGAGACCCCTCCTCCCACTGTCCTCCCCCAGTGCCCAGAGCCCTGCCTTCTCTCCGCCAGGGCAAGCGGTGGTCCTTGAGGAGGTGGCATGACTCACCAAGGGTCGGGGGATGCTTAGTCAGAGCAGAAGTAGGGTGGGATGCGGGCTACATTCTCTTCCCCTCTCTTCTTTCTGGGCGTCAGGCTTTCACCCAGGTATGGGGGTGGGGGTTCCCCCAGTTGGGGAGTGGGGGGAGGGGCAGGGGAGCCCTTCCTTCATGGTGA